CATCATAGTATTGCCATAAGGAATGATCCAAAGGGAAGCATTTTGCAAACATAGAGGAGTTTGTTGTTAGCATGGGAATAGTCTTGGTCTTTGCTGTTGGAAACCCTTGTGATTTGTATATAAGAATTGTGGTGTTACAGATACAGCTATGTATGATAATATTCTGGTCTTTGATTTGGGACAGTGATGAGAGCCAAATCTGGAAAAGAATGTCAATGTACAGAGGTAACTCTGTATTGCAAAATCTCACTAGGTGGGCCTACCAGTATAGCACTGTTTGCAAATCCTTTAAGTACAGCTGAATCCAATACTCCTAATGTTTGTTTCCCACTCATTTAGCTTTGCATGTATATTTTGTCTTTTTACTAATTCTGGAGTTGAACTGTGTATTTAGCTCTAAAGGAAAGTGATGCCTCCACGCAGGAGCTGAGCCTGGGGCTCAAATAAATATGTGTAGAAAGTTGGTACTTAAAAGCTTTGCGCAAGTGTACCTGTCCTGTGTGTGCAGGAGTCAAGTGTTGTGTGTTCATGCACTCTGCTTGTTGTGGGAGTAGACAGAAAGAAGACAGACTTGAACCTCCTTGGTGAGGAAGAACAGCAGCAAAGGAATGTATTATGAAGTGAGGAAAGTGGAGTTCTGTGTCATCCTTGCCGAGCTGAAGTTGGCAGTGTGTTGGCAGTAGCAGGTGCTGTGGTGCCAAACTTGTGTGTGATCCCTGGCCTGTAACACAGTGCCAGCCTGGTAAAGGAGTTATTTCTGCTTTTGCATCTGCTCCCTTATCAGGTCGGAAGGACACATGACAATGGAAATACGTTGTGGGAATATGCTGAGTCCTTGAATCCAGAGGCAGGTAACAAAGCTGGTGCGAGGCCTGGAAGCAGTGTTTGGTGAGGAGCAGCCACGGGCTTTGGGCTTGTCTGGTTTGGAGAAAAGGAGGCTGAGCATTGCTCTTTACAGCTTCCTGAGGAAGGGAAGTGGAGAGGGAGGTGTTGAGCTTTTCTTCCTGGGATCCAGAAATGAGATGTGTGGGAATGGTTCAAAGCTGCTCTATAGAGCAAACAAGCTAAAAAAAGCCCCAACAACAACAAAAAAGAGTAATTAGACAAAGGTAACTTTGTACCAAATGTAGCTGTATTTGAAGATATTGCAAGTTTCGGCTGGGTGCATGTAGTGTTCATATCATGATACTTCAAATAGCTTAGAATTGCCCACAGTGGGAGTTGAACAATGGTAACTGAATTATAAAGAGTTAATAGCCATGGCTGTTTCTGGTTTGACTTATATATGATTGGTATTTAAATAGAATGTCCAGGACTGCTTGTAAGAGAATCAGAAGAGTGAAGGAAAAACTCTCCTCATGTGTTTTCTTACAGTTGAGGTGGGGTTTTTCCCCTCTTCAGACTCTCTGAGGGGTCTTATCTTGTCCTTTTGGACTTTAGCTCCTGTTTACTGTAGGCTTAAAAGTTCTCTACTGTCAGTATTAAGAGAATATTTTCTTTGTATGTGCCCGTGTTGCTCACTTGTTTGCTCTCTTAGAATGGAGTACGCCATTGCTTGAGATCAAGGTTGTGAAGTCTTCCAGTTGAGTCTGTCTCTGAGGCTTGCAAAGGCCACTTTGATTTACTTTCAGATTTTTTCAGGAAAAAATAAGATGGCATAGAGTGTTATAGTTACCTGATCTAAATGAGTAAGCAAGCAATTGGAGTTTTTAGGAAGGAAGATAGTAGTATGTTTTATTTGTGTTTGCTGGCTCCATCCTGTGCTGTCATTTCCCTGAACCTGACATTGGTCATCACACAGATAACTGTTAGAGTGTCCAGCTGTCCACCCAGCAGTTTGCAAAGTCAGAAGAGACAATCTGAATGGTTTGATTTTGTATCATTGACAAAGCATCCTATTTTGTTATGCAGCTGTAAACTTCTGTAACAAAGAGCATTTCTGCTTAAATGAAAACGGGAGCTCACACAAGTAATTGTTCCCAGTGGTGTTCTTCCTTCATCTGTTTCTTCCATAGATAATAGGAAGTGTTGGGAAAATTTTAAGACATGGTATATTCAATAATTTATAACTTTTCTGATCTCTGATCTCCTGGACTGAAATACTTTAAGCCTTTTTGTTGCCTTGAGTTTAATTTTGTTTAAAGCCTTTTGCCAAAATTCTTCATCTGTTTTCAGAAACAGGACTAGAATAATTGTGCTATTTTTTTAATGTCAGTCTCTACTTTGAAATATTGTAGTGCACTTCTGAACTGGAACATTTACATGAAATTTTTCTGTGGGCAGCCTCTGGCTGAGCAGTATTGTTTCAATTTTTACATTAAAATCTGTCAAAATTGAGCCAATTTTCTTCTTGAAAATTTCTGATCTGGACATCTCAGTTCTTTGTTTTGTTTGGTTTTTTTGGGGTACCCTGGAGACTCTCTGCATTCTATATGCTCAGCAGGATTTTATTTTCAAGTACTTTTCTGGGCTGCAATCAGCTGTGCAGAGCATGGGAGCAAGAATAGTCCCAAGTTAATTGGTGAGGGGGGTCCTATGGCACAAAGCCAGCTGGGGAATCTCTGAGACAGCCCTGACATGTGTCAGCTCCAGAATCATGCACTTGTCCCTCCTTTTCTGTCCATCAGCTCTGCAGTATCTCCAGTCTCCTGCCAACACCGGTGTTTTGACTGTGACTTTTTGTTAAGACTCAAGAGAAGTTCAGGTATCCATACTGGGCTAAAGCTTGGCTTCTTCTGTATCTGAATGCCTTTGTTACTTCTGAGCATAAAAGGATGTCACTCTTCACATTCGTGTAGCTGTGGTTGTAGGGGGTGCTCAGTCACTTCCCTCATGCAGGGTCTGTGCATTTGGGCAGGACTGAGTGCTGCGACAGGCAAAAAATCATACTGAGCTCAGTATGATTCTTCAGAGACCTTCACAGATAAAATCCCAAAAGACTACTAGGCTAATGAACCTAAAGGTATTTTTTTCTTCAGGAGTTCCAGACTGGACCAAGTTTATCTGAACTTTAGTAGAGATAGCAAAAGATACTCCACACAAAGGCTGCACTTCCTGAATTTATAAAATGAGGAGGTGGCTTTTTAAAGATGATCAAAATGTAACTTTTCTGACATTTTTCTGACAACAACTTAGACTTCCAAAAACTATTTTAGGTAGCTACCCAGCCTATGAAATTCTGACCAAATCAGAAAGCTACCTTAAGTGATTGAATGTGTCTGATGATGGGAAGCATTAGGTGACAGTAGTAAATAAATTATTTCTTAAAAAGGCTAAAGAGAAAAAAATATTTTCAGAATCATGTCCCTCCTATTGGGAAAAGACTTAGGGGCCACCAAGCAGACTGACTTTCTTTGCTGTTTTTAAGGTGACTAGTTTAAACTTTAAGATGGCCTTGCCTGTTGACACAGTACAGCTGAAAGTTTCTTTTTTCAAATGCATTTCCCCTGTAGCAAAATCTGTGTCAATTATGTAGATGCCTGCAGCTGTGTGAGAGAGCTTTCCCTGAGTTTCATTGCTGTGCTTCCTCTGAACCAGCAGCAGAGCCCACTGTGGCAGTGTGAACTTCTTGGGAAGTTGGTACCTGCTGGATCAGGTGTTTCTTTTCCATGTTGGTTCAGTTTAGGAGCAAACAGATTTTGCTGGAAGAATGTTCCAGTCTGGCTGCTGATCAGAATTCTTATGAAGATAAATAATTTTTCTTCAAATCATGAATGATTTTAAGTTACCTACAAGTTAATTTTGTATGTCTCTGTGCCACTGGTGCCAGTACAATCGGAATTGTGTAGCCTTGTGTACAGTCAAACATTAGGCAGTGTTCTGGGTTTTTCCTCCCTCCCTCCCCTCCTCTAAGTGGCAGATTCCTGCCGATCTGTAGCAGAAGAGTTTGAGATCTCTGAACTTGCACAACTGGTTTTAGTTATTTGGACCCTTAAACTTTATATAATGGTTCAAAGGGTGCTCAAGCTGTGACTGTTCATAAGTATCTTAAGAAAATTTCTTTGTTTTCAACTAGTTTTGAATCTAGAATTTTTAATTCTCATTCTTGTGATCACCGTACGTGTTTTTCTTCAGGAATTCCTGGCCTCTGGGTGAAAGTAGTTAGATGTGGAAATTGCCATGTCTCATAATTACTTTTTATTTTTTACATCAAGAATCATAGTATTTTTCATCATGGAGGATACTTAAGGTTCACAACTTTCTGAACTCATTTATTGGGCAGGTTGTTCCTGTGCTCTTAAAATGTTCCTGTGCTTTATAAAAATACCAGAAAATGTCTGGTCTTTCAAGTAGCAGTTGAACCACCTTTTTGAAAAAATAAAGGTGAATATTTCTTAAATTTCTATATGAATAGTTTTCCCTGTTTACAGTGTTACAGTTCCTGTTCTTCTGAAGGGTACAGTGTTTTTCTAGGTGAGTGTTAGTCTTGAAGCTAAATTTTAGTTTTTGCTTTACAATTAAAACTTTGATTCATCTTTCATTTAAGAAAACATGTTTCAGGTTATAAGGAGAATCTGGGTTAACATTAAGGGGTAGGTTTCACAGAAATGGCTAAACAAGCATTAATGGCTCACTGCTGCTGGTAGACATGGTTCTTTTCACTTGCTCTCTTTGCATAAGACTTGAAATTCTCCTACCTCCATGCTATCACTTGTCTCTTGTGGCTTCTTTTTCCTCATTGAAGTGCTGTTTGTCTGTCTAGTGCTTCCATCAATTAGCTTATGGTGAAAATGGAGGTAGATGAATATTGGACCTGATGCAAAGGGATGGGAGGGAAGCAAGAATATCCCTTTATAATAGGATCAAAGCAGTGGCAGATCAGTTATCATGGACTATTACCCTTAGGGTGCCCTTTCTATGGCTAAATTCTGTTCATGAGAAACAACCTAGAAAAAAGCTGTACTCTTTAATAGCTGCCCTCTGAAGAGTTTATCACTCAGTAGTCATTGATTTAGGTTTGTTCAGTTTTCTGTGGTGCTGCAAACTCTTCCTGTGTGAAACGCAGCCTCTTAAACCATTACACAGTCCCAGAACAGGTGAGGTTAGAAGGAAGGGTCTGGAGTGGATGATCTGGTCCAACCTCCCTGCTCAAGCAATTCATGCAACTGAGTTTCTGCTTTCACAGGGCAAAAGGGCATTACTGCTTTTATTAATCTCATGCAGCTGGCAATGATGTTGTAAAGATTCATTTTTCTAGTCTGTTCCTTTGCTGCATCTTCTTGGAGTTCCTGCAGCCTGTAAGTTGTGTTCATCCATATCAGATAGGAGCCCTTGGATACGAGGTATCTTTCCTATACTGAATGAGCTGGTGTGTAGATATACAAGTGGTATCACAGGTTAGTGAGTTGTCTTTTTAGATAGGCCATTTCCCTCTTGATTAATAGGAATACCCATTAGTAGATTAGTGATTCATGGCTAGGGTCTTGCTGCAACAATCCTTTAGCTAATAGCATGATAACTGGAGTCAGCTTTTGGATAGGATAGATGATTTCAAAGGACAAAACATTTATCTATTTTATTTTGAGAAGAATTTAGGAGCTAACCAAATATGTATATTTTTCTTAGAAAATTTTCATCCTGTGGGGGCTCACTTACATAACATACACAGGTGCTTCTTTGCTGGAATAAACATTTCATTAAAATAGTTTTTATTTAACTGATTGCTTTATGTAAAATGAAGAAGAAAGATGTAGTCATGTATTTGACAATCTTGCTATCCTATTTCAACCTCCTATGCAATGGAGTCTATTGCCTTGAAGATAAAATAGTAGCTTAATAATCTACTTAGCACCTCAGTTGTAATGGACTGAGGCAACCGATGCTCTTAAGAGGAAAGACCTGATTTTCTTATCAGTGCTTGTTCAGTCTCTGTAATGCATATCCTGTGCTTTTAGTCATAGTCTTACATTTCTGACCATGTGAAGGGTTAGATATTATTACTTGAAGCTTTTAGGGTACATCTTGATCCTGTGTTTTGAATCATGGGCATTCCTGTTTTCATGGCACAAGGAAAGTGTGGTGAGGGTGGGTTTTTTTTGTTTGTTTGTCTTCGTTTGGTTTTGGGGTGGGGTTTTTTGGTTAGGTGTTTTTATTTGGTTTTGTTTGGGTTTTTTTTTTTAAACACTGAGTCATGAAGCTCATGAGTAGACACCAAGAGGGCCTCTAGATTACTCACTAGTAGTCTTTAAATACAAATGGAGAGCAGGGGTTGCAAAGGGCTGGACCCTTTGCTGTCAGGCAGAGAAACATTTTTTTGTTATTGCTAGAAGAGTAACTCTAAACACAGTAATTTATAATCTCATTACCCTGAGGTGTTTTCTCTTTAGTTATTGCTAATGGATCATTGCATTGGTACTTTTAGTATCATGAGCAGTTAAAGGAATGTTGCAATTGTTCGTGTGGCGTGCCCAGGTGAGAGCACAGTGGCACACTCTGGCTCTTTAGGTGGGTTTGTCCCCCTGCTGACAGCGGGTTGACTGTCAAGCGGTTCCACTGTAATCTTTTCTTCTCCCAAGCACCATCATTTGGCATTAATGCTTATTGATTTAAGTGTTTTTCAAACTGAGACTATGTACAAGTACACTTCCAAATTTCCAGGGTTTTAAGATATGGAAACTTAGTGCTGCTCAACATTGTTAGAATTCTTGACTAGCAAACTAAAACACCTAAAACGTGAAACTTGGCCAAGACATAGTCAATGTATTTGCTGAGCAATTTGTTTTGCAGGAATTTAGTTCTGACTTTTTAGTGTTTATAACTTAGAACTGTTTCTGTGCAAGATAGTCTGATGTATATTGATGCTGTACGTATTTTACATATATCAATTTTTGTGTATGTTTATACATAACTAGACACTTGTTTGTTCTGTTATACAAAGTCAGCTAAACTAACTAAGGGATTTTTTTTTTTGTCCCTTACCCCTAAGAAAGATCTTCCTATCCTGGGGGCTGAACCTGCAAGGCTAATGCTTTAAGTTTTTTCACTTGAGTTTTAAATATATGAAAAAAAAAACAAGGGCAGAATTTCAGAAAGCTTCACATTCACTGAAATCCTGATTCTTAGCAGAGGTCAAAATATGTTTAAGTCTTTTAACTTTTCTGGAAATCCCACTTTCAACATTTTTTAACATTTTTTTTTAAGATGCACTTTAATTTGCTGTGTTCGTAAGTTGTCATTGCACATGCTTTATGTGTTCAATGTACAGAATATCCAGAACAGTCTTAGTTTAGATTTTCTGGCAAATTAGTCCATAATTTTAAAGTTATGGTAACACCTTTAAGTGAATTTTTGGTGGCGTTAGAAAACCAAAATTTCAGTTCCACTGCAATTTAATGCCAGTGTTGATGTTGCAGCTGGCTGTGCTGCAGCAGGACCCTGCACACCAAGGCTTGGTGAATGCTCGCTGGCAGAACCTGCAGGTACTGAACCACAAAGCACAGGTTTCCTTCAGCTGGCAAGTTGAAATGTTTCTGATAGCTCTAGCTGGGTATAGTCTAGGATAAAGTTGCCTGTGGATTAAAGTGAAAACATGAAACAGGCTAGACCTGCTGGCAGCCTTCCAGCTGCTTCTCCTTCTTCTTTGCAGGGTTTATGTTCTTTTACCTTCCCCAGGCCCAGCCTGGGGAGCCAGGTGCTTGCTGCCAATTAGTCTTGTCAAGACAGCCCAGAGCTTCTCTTGACAAGCCTGACTGCTGACAGCAGCTGTGGGCTAGTCTTAGGCAGGATTTTAACTCCTTGCCTGCCAAATGCTTTGCAGGTTAAATCCCCTGGGCTCATTCTGCAGTTATTCAAATATTCAGGCTATTTTATGAAAATATATTCTGCACAGAAACTGATCTAAGATTTACAGTGGTGCTGTAGTGATAGAGTTTACTTGCCAAACTTCTGGCATGAAAGAATGTGAGTTGGGAGTTAAGTCATTATGAAGGTCACTTTATGGGTTTGTTATTAGAACTGTCCATCTCAGGCCATCTTCTACTTGCTGTAAGCATAGCTGTAGCTGGGTAGCAGCTTGGGCTGTTACTCTTCTCAGTTATTATGGTTTTAGAAACTTTTGAACTTTTTGGGTCCATTTCACTTAAATTTGAAAGAAGGACTACTTTATTTTTCCTGCAAATTGCATGAATAGCAATAATGCTTTTTCCTATGTGGTCACCATTCTAGAATACATTGCTAGAGAAAGACAAGTACAACTTGGGTTTTCTTAGTTGAGAAGAGGTGGCAGGTAGCTAGTTTGTGTTGGGGACTATGATCTTTTGCTTGGTCAGGTTAAAAGAACACATGGGAAGTGGCTAGGTGCTTGAGAAAAGCTGTGTCCAGGAGGTGCCTGTAAGCTGATGGGGGGCACGGGTGCAGTGGTGAGGGAGAGGCATTAGACAGGCTGTTGAGGTTTTGAAAAATGTAGTGAGAAGAAATAGGACTGTTAAACCAGTATAAATTGATCCCAGAACAGAAGGATTGTGTTTGGAAAACAGGCCATTTGCAATTGAATGAAATGCTCTGTTTACAAAATACATTAAATTGGATGTTTTTACTGAGCTTGTCAAAGATGTGGGATGTGATTTGACTCATCTTTTCAACTTAGCTTCCAATTTCCTCTGCTTTTAGTGAGGCACAGCTATTCAGGTATGCTTTTTCTTAACTCAGAACTCCCAAGAATTACATACAAATAACCATTAGATCACTCTTTTTGTCAATTTGATACCTATTTATATTATAGAACTTTGTAGAGGAGGATATACTTCATTAGTGTTCTTAGAAATAGAAACAAATTCTTCTCTGCTAGGGGAGAGCTCCATAACTTTTCTTGGAATACTTATGGCTTTTGCAGAGGTCATCAAGAGGGCTGCTGTACTTAACTTGAGTATTGACTGGAAGCATTTATTCTATCCACATGAATTTTAAAAAAGTATAGTGGCGGTTTCTGTGTGAGAAGAGTTAAACCTAGCAGTATGGGAACCATTACTTACACTTAATCACACCTGGAGTTCCCTTTCATGGCAGGTACTTTACCTTGCTAACTTAATGCTCGCTCTTTTTTTTTTTATGTTAAGGTGAAATTGAATTGCCTGCTTGGGGTATATAGAGGTAGTTTAAAGGAAACTGCTTTCATTTAATGTTGCTTGTGTGGATTTACATGTTACAATGAGTGGCTGCCATTAGGATACTGCCTAAATGATTTGAAGGTTTCTTTACTTGGAATTAATGTGTGCCATTGTCTTGAATTTGCTGTTTTTAGCATAGAAATCTACCACTATGTGGAGTTCTTGGTAAATCTGTATAGTGTTATTTCTGTTTTAATATCTGAAACTCATGTTTGCTCTGTGATTCTTACATAATTAGAACTACCAGCTTTGCCTATGATGGTTATTATCTACCAGACTTGTGTAAGTGGAGGGAAGTATTTAAAAAGCAGTTGTCTCTAGTTGTGATTCAGTGCCATAACTTTTGTTCATCTATTGATGGCTTGTCTGCTTCAGGGATTTCAGATTTCCTGAACAGCAAATAAATGGATAGCAGCTGTACAGTACTTTTCAATCCAAGGTGAACACACATAGTCCCAAAATTGTCCATTTGGAAACCCAAAGCCTAGTAAGGGGCTTATAAGAATGTTCCCACTATTGAAAGTCTTGGAGCAGTATTTTTGGACTGAAGTTACCAATGTGTAGCTGCTTGGGAAGAAACTGGCAGAACATCAGCTGTCCAAGCTAAGACTGCTTTTTGCTCAATGCAAATCTGCACCAAGGAGGGGGAGGAGTTTACTTCTTACTCCAGGTTGGAGCAATGGCAAAATATCGTTATTTGGCTTTGACTTGACAATCTGCCAGCTTAAGTCCTTGAAACTGTCAGCTTTCCTTGTGATTTAGCAGAATGCATCAAGCCAACTCAGCATTTTATTTCTGAAGTAAATGTTTTCAGTGGCGAAACTTTCAATACAAGTGTTCAAAGCAGCATCTTAAGTAGAGTCCTAATCTCTTTCTTTCCAGCCAGAGCCCCACAGTTGAGAATGGAGATTTCTCTTCAAAGTAGCTATCTAAGAATTTAATAAATTCCTCAGAACTAACCAGTGCTGCTGTGGAAGGAAGCAGTCTTGCCCTGGCTGCTGCTTCCTCCCTCCTCATCTGCTCCTCCCATGTGTTAACTTGAATGTTTGTACAGAAGTCATAAACCAGATGGAGTAAATGATTGAGACTTTTTCTGAGAATTCATTTCAGTCTGGATCAGTTCCTTGAGCTGGTTGACTGAGCAGCCATATGGTGTACAGACCACCTCCTGCACCAGCACAGGTGGCCAGGAAGAGGCTGATGCCATTTCTTTTGGTTGCAGTGATGACTTAGGCCAATTCTGTGTGTTGTTGGAATTGTAGCTCTGTATCTTTACCTCTTTTCTGGCAGGTTTGAGTTTTGGTTTGGGAATTCAAACCTTTGTATTCATGTGCAACTGCACAATTTATCAAAGCCTGATAGTTAAAAACCAGTAGTACTTTATCCGAATAAGGCTTTCATGAGCACTTGGCCCCTTTACCTTGTTTAGTTAAAAAACAGCCACCTTTTCTTCCCAGGCCTCTAAATCAGCTCTTTGAGCTGTCTGCAGTGAGCACATTTTTGTGTGTGTAGAAAAAATGCATGGTTCCTCTTGAGCCAACAAACTCCATGTTTTTAAGAAACGTTATCTCTAGTATTACAGTAGTAATTCATTATTTCTGGAATGTGCATTGGAAGGGAGGAAATTGCTTTGTAATCCTTAGTACTGCCCTTCCTTCCTCAAGTGGGTTACTGCAGATGTAGGGGGTTGCCAGCCTTCCTCACTTTGACTGAATAAGGTTGAGGAGCAGCTCCCTTAGTGCATCCCTAGAGCAGGAGCCTGCTGGGGGCATTTGGCAGCGTGCAGATGGGACAGTGACCTCTTCAGCAAGCATCCCTTAATGGAAGCAAATGTCTTCATCAAGAGTCTCTTGTCACTGCTAAGCAAATCATTTTAAGGAATGACACAAATAGAAGCAGCGTTTCCTTCCAGTCTTTTGCTTGTACCTCCGTGGTCCATGCACCAGGGTTGTGGAATGTGGTAGCCGGTTTGCCTGTGTAGGCTCCAGCTAACACTGAGCTGAGCAGAGAGACTGATTTATTTCCCTGCCCTCTTTTCCTTCTCCTGTCAGGTTACTGGGTTTTTGACTTATAACAAGTGTCTGGTTTTGTATTCCTTCAATGTTTTGACCTTGTTATCTTTCTGTGTTTTGAAGCTATTGTCTTACAAAAATACCAAAACAAATAATCTCGTAGGTTTTTTTTGGTTTTTTTTAAGCCTGTTCTGTAAGGTATCATACTTTGGGCAGTATATCATCTTTTGTGAAGATGGTACATTGTTAGGAGTTAATACTTTGAATATAATAAACCATACTGGGTAAATTTTAAATTGGGTGAACTGTGAGTGAAACGAGTGTATTATCTTTCAGAAAGAGCACAGCCTTGGCTTTGAATAGTGTTCCTACGAAGTCACAGGCAGAAAGGTCTGCCTAGATCTTGTGACATTTCTGGAAAGAATGGTCTGAATTTTCACAGTAATCTGTTAATATGTGGTATTTTAGGATTACAAACAAGTTGTAAATGTAGCTTTATCATATTGCTTAAAATCTTTGTTGTCTCAGCATTTGTATGCTCAGAATACTTGAAGACTACACTCATGCAAACTTCATGCATTCGAATGTCTCTAAATTTACTGCAAATGGGAATATAGCACTAAGGTATTGCTGCTCATTGCTTCTGTAATCCCTATAGAGTGCTTATTGTCTGTTATTTTTAAGATCATTTATGCCAGTTCAAAGTAGGTAGAAATAATTCTTAGTTGAAAAGAGATTGTGTCAAGAACATCAGCAGAACTTCTATTTTTCTTAGAAAAAAACTTTTTTTTTTTCTTAGAATATCTACAAATGGTTGAATTCACTTTGTGGATTTTGATGGAATGAAATGGATTTCCTGTTTAGGCTAGAATAACCACTGGCGGTGCTCCTTTGTAAAACTAGGATGGCTTTAGAACCAGTTCAGAAATAATTTTTATTTTGTTAAGCTCAGTGCTGCCACAAGAAATCTGTGAAACCGCACATCTGTTGCACATTGATTTAAAGTAATTTAAAATCACTAGGTTGAATTTTAAATACTTTACCAGTGACTCAACTTTTATTCTAACACAAGTCTGAGATGTTTAACTGAGACAATGTGCCCAAATTCAAGGACCTATTTTCCATTAGGGAAGGCTGGTTCCCAAAGAAACCACTGCCTCCTGGAGCCACCTGGCAGTTTGTCCAACAGGCTGTGTCAGCTGGCTGGCAGTGGTGATGTGATAGGTGCTGTATTGACTGCTCATGTTTCTTAGCAGAACCGAGAAGAATGGGGATATATAAAGCTGGTGCCATTAAGCATGACACTTCAGGATAAGCATCCATGTAGGATTTTTGAATTTTGATGAGTTAAAATGGTTTGCATGCAGCCCCTTTGCCACCTGTGCCCAGTAAAACAGCATTGCTGGTTTTGTTTACAGTGAAGATGAACTTCAGATGGCTGAATGAGCTAATGTTTCAATTAAGGTTTTATTTAAAGTTGGATAGCCCTTATTCCAGCAACTTTACCTTGCATTTGCTCTGTTAAGGCCTTGCACTGAATAAATTTTAATAGGCTTGACTGTCTTGTGTTTGTAGACTTGCTAGGAACATAATGCAGAACAAAAGAAATGAGAGTAAATGTTACAGTTGCAGAAGAACTGTACTTGTGCTTTGAGCTTCATCTGGTATGAATACTTTGTACTTGTCACACTGTTGCTCTCTGAAAAGGTTACTTTTATGGAATCTCAATAGCAATAGCGTGCCCTAACTTTAAAAATGTTTCAGCAATTTTAGTGCCTCCAGAAGGGAATGGAAACTGGTAATACTTGGAATTTCCTGCCATTGCTCTGGAGTTTTCTACCTAGGAATCTTAACTTTTAATATCCACCTAGTGATTCTCAACCCTGTAGCTTTTTGTTGAAGTACATGTGCATCACATTTCAATATTTTTCTTCCTGTTCTGTGTGTAAAGCTTTAATATAAGTTCCCAGTGTTTTCTGTTAACTCTTACTGCTATCCTGGGCTTGAATCTAGCAGGGACAAGCAAATTAATCTTCTCTGTTCTGTTACTGTTAGATTTCTAACAGTGGTGTGAGCATATTAAATCCCTCAACTCCTCTTGGATTTCTGAAAAACAATGATGATTATTTTAGGGAAGTGCTGACCTACTCTTTTAATAAAGAACTTGTCTTGTATTCCACTTTCCCATTTTTAGAATCATGGTTCATATTGCTCTTGCTTCACAATCATATAACATCCTTGTGGAGAGTACAGCAGTTGCTTACCTGGAAAAGTAATATTAGAAAAGTGTGTATTTTTAGCTGCCTTTTGATGTGATGTAGCAGCTGGAAACAAGGAGGAGACACAGTATGTGGTGATCTGACAGTACTGCCAGCCACAACTTGAGACCAAAATGTGGGGAAACCATTTCATAGGCTTGATTGTGCCCATTGTGCCTGGCACTTCAATGATCCAGATACTGTGGCTTTGCTCTTGGTTATCAAAAGTTTTATTTCAGAGTCCTCCTCATGACTGTACTTGACAAATGTTGTTAATATATAGAAAAAGCAAGTTCTGTGAAGCTTTTTGTTTATGTTAATATGCATTAAAAATGTATAAAGAGCAGGCAATTAAATGGACACATTTCAGAAATAAGTAGTAAAATATCCCTTTGATGTCAGTGATTAACAGTAAATGTCTAAATGAAAAGATATTCTAACTATTAACAAAATTTCTGCTTTTCCCTTTGTAGTAAACATGTCCACAAGTCAAAGAAGGAATCTAGCAAGTTCATGTTGAGGTATATTCTCAAGACAAGACACAGTGACTCATTTGCTTTTCTGGGTAAGAAAGGTATCTTTATTCTCTTGAGTGTGACGAAAAGTACTTAACCTTTTAAATTTAACTTCTGAAAAATACAGTCTGTCAGGACAGTATGCTGGGGGGGTTGTGGGTGGAGTGTTTTGTTGGTTTTTATTTTTATTTGTTCTTGAAGCTTTCTGGGCATGTGTAGAGAACTTTCCACCCATCTAACAGTCTTAAGATGTTTTAGACTAGTAGTGCAAAGGAAGAGAAATAAAGAGCAATTTCAGAATAAAAGACACCACTGAATAGGATGTGATTGTTTGGATAGAAAAGTAATTCCAATTAATTGTCACAAAAATGTGTACATTTTCTAGCCTGACGTGCCAAGGGAGTGGAGTTTATATAGTATCTCATTCTTTTCTCTTCCTCATTTATTCTCTTCCTGTGACTAGGAAAGAGAATAAAAAACTTGCAACTTGAGACAAAAGTGTAGAAGTCAACCTTGTGTATCTTGTGTTGACAGGCTGGCAGCCAGCAAACATGTGCTTCTTCATGGTCAGCATGGGTATTCTGAGACACCACAAACAGCTATGGTCATTTAAATGACATGATACATGTTGGGTGCTTCCTGCAAATTTCTGTGTGGTCTGACTTCAGTAGTTCTGCTGCTCCTAGAATTTCCCCAGCTTGATGCAGACAACTCCAGAAAGAAAAATAATTTAAGGATTTTTTTATTTTAATCAGGGAGATGTTCTTTGCTCATTTGCTTACAGTCCTTATGTATACATGGAACTGTGTAACATCTTCTATGTGTAACATTGCTCTGCAAGTGTCTGCCTCCTTAATAACCACGTGGGTGGCTTTAGCATTGTGTTGTAGATAACTTGTACCAGTAACCTTCAGAGACTGGAGGCCTGATTTCCCCCTTCTCCCCAGCTCCCTGATCCACACTCAATTCTTATGGTCTTAGTGCAGTTGGGTACCTCGCTCGCTGGGTTTGCTGGATCATCTGATGACAGAGTGAGAAAGAAAGCTTTTGTTTTTCGTTCCTGTCACAGTCAGGTGTTACAATTCATTCTCTTTCATGTTTCTCATGTAAGCTATGCCTCTGACTCTTCTCCACTCTCAGCGGATTCTGCTATAAAGTTGTAGGCTTACAGCTGTGCTCCTGTTGTAAGGACTTGTAGGCTGGATCACCAGAGCATTGCCTGCTTCTTTATCATCCACTGTATGTCGTGAGCCCCATGCATTTAGTCAGTGCTTCAGATTCCTCTCCAGTTATGAACAGAAAAGTAGTGCAGCAACAGAGGAGTGTTGCTGCAAAATAATATGTTTCCAAAGAATAGAGCAGTTTCCATAAAGAGTTAAATTAGATAAGATGACGTATTTTAGTTTTTTAAGTTTAGCACTTCTCTCAGAACTTAATTAGATCTAATTTAGTTTGGCATTGCCTGACTTCTTTTAGTATAGAATTAGCCTGTTTCTCTGTGTCCTAGGGCAGTCCTGTAATTTTGGCAGTCTTGTTCCAATTATCAAACTCAGTTTCTAAAGATCTAGTTTCAGAATACACACTGCTAATGTTTTTATCTTTTTACAGTATCTCCATGATTCACTGTCATCGTGTTTCTGCTGTGGAGCTGCTTTCTTTTTAAGTGTTCTTACTAAAGATAGAAAAGCTCCTTGGGCTCTTTCATTCTTTTATATCTTAAGTAATAAAGCCGACCATTGGTTGGCAGGGTTTTTTTCAGCTCTTTCATATGGCTTATATTAATGTATCAGAGATTTTATAATTCTAAAATTGTCTTTTGGTGGTTGTCTCATCTAATAAGGATGAATGCTTTTTTCCCCCCTAAATTTCTATTTTTGTGCTAATTCTTTTAATCTTACAAAGCTATATCTTGGAATTTATGTGGTGTGCAGCTGGAGCTTTCATTTTTACATGGTGCATCTGGACATTTGCAGTGCACTTGTTGGATTTTACTAACGGCTCTCCTGGTTTGGAGTAACTTGAAAAGTTCTTACTCAGGATTTGTTTTACTGCTGCTTATTGGAAGCTTATCAGGGAGTCATACCTAACATAGGACTTAAATTCTTTCTTAAATGAAGAATTTTAGACTCTGTATTTCCTATTCATCAAATACAACTATGCAGACCTACCTACATGCCTACAGAAAAATAGGAGGGCCTGCTTGTAAATGAAATGTTTGTAATTTCCTAAACACTTTCTTTGTGGTGAATTTTCTAAATACTCATTTAGAAAATATTCAAAAATATGGATATTTTTCTAAATGTTGAAATGGTGTGATGCATCTTGCTTCCACATAACTCTACAAAGACTAGGGCACTTTTAAAATGTATTGCATTCAGTTAATAATAGTCATCTTGGGTCTGTAACTTAATTGATAACTGAAGATGTATCCTCGTGTTTGAAAACTATATTTTTATTTTAATATTTCTTCTCCTCTTGATTTAGATAACATAATCCATGGATAAAGTGGGAAAGATGTGGAACAATTTCAAATACAGGTGCCAGAACCTCTTTAGTCATGAGGGTGGAAGCCAAAATGAGAGTATAGTTGTGAACTCCAATAATTGCTCGTCTGGTAAAGAGAAAGCCATCCAGATAACTGACTTGACTCAACAACAGCCCAGCAGCCCTTTGAGAGAAAACATTGCTTTGCAATTAGGCTTAAGTCCTTCAAAGAATTCAGCAAGGCGGAACCAAAACTGTGTCACAGAAATTCCTCAGATTGTTGAAATAAGCATTGAGAAAGAGAATGACTCATGTGTCACCACAGGAACCAGGCTTGCTCGAAGGGACTCTTATTCTCGGCACGCTCCTTGGGGTGGGAAGAAGAAGCATTCCTGCTCTACCAAAACACAGAGCTCCTTGGATACTGAAAAAAGATTTGGTAGAACACGAAGTGGTTTGCAGAGGAGGGAGAGAAGGTATGGGGTGAGCTCAGTCCATGACATGGACGCAGTATCCAGCAGGACAGTAGGTAGCCGTTCTCTGCGACAGCGTCTCCAAGATACTGTTGGGCTGTGTTTTCCCATGAGAACTTACAGCAAACAGTCCAAACCTCTGTTTTCTAACAAAAGAAAGATCCATCTCTCTGAACTAATGCTGGAGAAATGCCCTTTTCCTGCAGGCTCAGATCTGGCCCAGAAGTGGCATCTGATTAAACAACACACAGCACCTGTGAGCCCTCATTCAACTTTCTTTGACACGTTTGACCCTTCCTTGGTTTCCACAGAAGATGAAGAAGACAGACTCAGAGAGAGACGTAGGCTTAGCATTGAAGAAGGGGTTGATCCCCCTCCCAATGCCCAAATACACACTTTTGAAGCTACAGCACAGGTAAATCCATTGTATAAACTGGGACCAAAGTTAGCCCCTGGTATGACTGAGCTGACCGGGGACAAAACCATAACACCTCCAGGGAACTGTGACTCCGAAGAGGACACAACAACGCTTTGCCTGCAGTCGCGCCGGCAGAAGCAGCGTCAGATGTCAGGAGAGAGCCATGGCCATATCAGCAGGCAGGGGGCTTGGAAAGTGCACACTCAGATCGATTACATTCACTGCCTCGTGCCAGACTTGCTCCAGATCACAGGTAACCCGTGTTACTGGGGCGTCATGGACCGCTACGAAGCAGAAGCACTTCTGGAGGGTAAACCCGAAGGCACTTTCTTGCTCAGGGATTCTGCGCAGGAGGACTACCTCTTCTCGGTGAGCTTCCGCCGCTACAACCGCTCGCTGCACGCACGCATTGAGCAGTGGAACCACAACTTCAGCTTTGACGCCCATGACCCCTGTGTGTTCCACTCCTCCACTGTCACGGGCCTTCTGGAGCACTACAAGGACCCCAGCTCTTGCATGTTCTTTGAACCATTGCTCACTGTCTCTCTGAACAGGACCTTCCCCTTTAGCCTGCAGTATATCTGCCGGGCGGTAATCTGCAGGTGCACTACGTACGATGGAATTGATGACCTTCCCCTACCCTCAATGTTGCAAGACTTTCTAAAGGAGTATCACTATAAACAAAAAGTCAGGGTGCGATGGCTGGAGCGGGAACCTATAAAAGCAAAGTAAATGAAATTCAAAATAAGCTTCTGGAACATGCTTTTTTTTGTGTATTACAGTTTAACTGCAGCAAGCGCACCGATGACGTCTAGCTTTTCTGCAATACCCTATTTAAGCTGAGTGTTAGTATCCTGTCAGATGCTGCCTGCTGTTAATCAAACTAAGTTGTGATGCCTCTTGGAAACAATAAGCAGACACAATTCTGCACGTTTTTCATTAAGGCCTAATGACAATATTTTTGCTAATTTCTAAATATTTTGTTTCCCTTTTATAGCTGTAGTAATTGGATGAAGAAACTATGAGGCATTTCCCATGGGGCATTCATGTAATGCTATTAAAGAAAGGTTTTATCAGAGGGGCATTTTTGCTAATATTTGAAGTATTTTTTAAAAATTCTCTTCTTGAAAACTTTCCTCAACTCAAAGTAATAATTTAGCTCACAAACAAGTTTCCAAATACTAGTGAACATTTTCTTATAATGAAGAGCAGTTCATTAGAAGCGGTCCATTAAGAGTTAATGGTGCTTTGATGCTAACAAATGAATCATGCTTTTCACAGTGTATAAGGTTTCCTAATCATTAAGACTTGAATATGTCTGCTCAGTACTGTAATTCTGTTACAAACACTTGGAGATTTAAGTGGCATTGTTAGTAAAAGTAATACTGTCTGAGACAGTTAAAAATACCTTCCAGTGTGAATTGCTGCTTCTGTGGTAGCACACAGAATTAGATTATTGCTGTGAAACAGAAGGTTGTGGGTTTTTTCCAAAACACATTTTGGTGGCCTGACTGCTAGTAACTTACAATGGAAGGTAATAGTGACAAGAAAAAAAATTCTTAATTATTTAAAGTTGTCTGATATTTTTATGGAGAACATGAAAAATGATTGAATTATTATAATCAGAGTACAAAATCTGACATATCTGAAGCAAATGTCAGGTTTCAAAGGTACTGGTACACTTTATTTGTAAATATCTTTCTATCTGTGCTTTTAAAAATGTTTTAAAGTAATATGCACTGATAATAGTTTCAACAGATTACTTAGAAACAAGATTCTAACTTCTGTTTGCTTATTTACTTGGAGATGGAACTTAAAAGTAGTTCTATCTTAGATATTTTGCACTAAAATTTTGTTGGAATGCCCTGACCCCTGTTTAATGTTTTGTACCAATTCTGAGTGCTCCCTAGTTTCTTTACCAGCTGCTACAGTATTTTATTTCTTACTTCTCTACAGCAGTGACCTGTGTGAGGTAGGAAACATTTTGGCTGCAAGTACAATAAACGTTATTCTTGTATGCTACACTAACCCTTCTATTGATGTATTTTTCTGCTTGCTGTGCCTTGTTCTGGCTTTTTGTGCTAATAAAGTACAGTATGTTCAGTGTTATACTTGTATATCTGCTCTGTTTTTATATATTCACGTAACTTGTAGCAGTTAAATGAATTTTTAATAGGCTTTTCTTAGTATTTAGGATAGGTAATGCACAAGTACTGTGCAGTTGAGTATTAGTTGGTCAACACATCTTATTCCTGGTTTTTGTTACAGCAACTTGACAGTGTACACCATTGAATAACGTTTCTGTAGTCACTGCAAGGTAGTGGACTTGTCTGCAGGCATAGAGCATTTTACAGGTTTTTGTAATGCAAAGGAAAAATGTTAAGCAAAAAGTGTTCTAAAACATTATTGATCCCCTGTAATGGTTGCTGAAGGTGTTTCAGCTTGTTGTATAGGTAACTGCTAAGGTTAATATTTTGATACTCCCCACTGAGGAATGCTTATTCCTGTAAACTGACAGTACAGCAGTGGCATTTGTTCACTTTTAGGCTATTTTGATAAATAGATGTACACACAAGCTGGCCAAATGTCCTGTTTTTACCAAAGAATACTGTCAATTTATGTTGGGGTATTTTTTTAGTTAAAAAAAAAAACAAACTTGAGTGGAGAGGTGCAATTTTTGTTCTATCAAATATTTATCCCAAGCTATAATAAACCAAAGTATTTGACAACTTCATCTGAACCTAAGTAGTGTATACATTTATGTTGGTAGAGCCTAAAGCTTTTGCATCAATGGTGTTGTCATTATTCCTGAACTCACAATGCACCTGAAGGGGAGTGATTTAAATAATTTTGTAATGACTGGAACAGCACTACATAATAGCTCGTACTGCGAGGGGTTAATCTGAAGCACCCAGAAAGCACTTTAAAACATGTGTTTATATACTTGTGGAAAGTTTGTGATCCCGTTATGCATTCTTTGTAGTAGATTATCTTCTTTTATGTGTTAAAAGACTTCAACTGTTAAAATGGAACTTTGTTTAGAATATGTAAATACTAAGTTTATGTAATTATGTGTACAACTGTGCTCTTGGTCTCTTAAGTTTTGAATTGTGTATGTGTCATTGGATATGCAACTCTTGGTTTAAAATCTGCTCTAAGCATAAAAAGAGGAAAAAGTCACCAGCATGAAATTGCACCTAAGTGTACCTTCACTGTGTCGTTCTCACTGTTCCCTCAGTCGGATCTGAATGCCAGATGAGTTTACTTAAATTCTTGCTTTCAATATTAGTGTCATACAGTCAGCCTGCAGCCAAGCTTTGTCCCGGTGTAGGGACCTGTTTTTCATTTACACTCGTTGCAGTTGCTTGTCATGAACTAGCTGTGACATTGTCAATGTGGTCAGGAATACACATTCATCTAATTTTTAATCACGTGGTGGAATCTTTGGGAAAAAAAAAATAAAAACCCCAACCCTTATCTCAGAAAGTTTGTTCTTGCATTTGTATAAACAATCTTTATTGAGAGATTTGCTCCCTGAAACACAGAAAAAAAGGAATTATCTATTTCTCTACAACTTTTTTAAAGCTCTGCTTCACTGAAATACACAGAATAATTTGCTAGTGTGGTTATGCTAAAATGAACCACTTTTTAAATTTTGGTGGACTTGAGTGTTGACTATTCCAGTTGCAGTGTATTTCTTAATGAATACATTTTCAGTTCTAAAGGCATTGAAATGCTAGTAGGTGGAGAATGCAAATAGTTGATTTCTCATTTGTGTTTCTCATTCTGGTTTCATTTAGAAAACCTTTTACATGTCTTAAGGAGGTGCACAAACCACAGCTTTTTTTTTTAATTTAAAAGTAGGATTCAATGTAAAAAGGTACTCTTGTATTGTTCCAATATAATTTGGTTACATGACAGATGAGTTTTTGAGCCTCAGACTTGTCAAGTGTTTTTTTGAGGTGATTCTTGTTTGAGCAGAAAGAGCTATAGGAAGTGCTTACTCTGTAGGAGGGTTTTGTAAGGAATCTTACCAAAGGTATTTTATGTCCCTGTGGAATTGGAGAAAGGAAAATATACTATATTTTGAGTATCCAGGAAGGGTCTATGAGTTTAGGATCTCTTAGCAGTTTCATCAGGTCTGTGGTGTTTATCATTTTAAATGCATAACTCTTGAAAATACTTGTAAGGCAAGTAGACTTGTCCATATAATTGTCAGAATGGAACTTGTGAAGAAAATAATTTGCTAATTAATGTTTTGCATTTATGTACTTTTAAATTTTATTTGCATTTGAAGACTTGCTGCTTACAAAGTTATAGTCGTTAAATCAGAAGTTGTGAAAAGAGAAAAGATGTGTCTGTTCATCTGTAGTGTTTGACAATACGAAGTCAAGACTTACAAATGTCACTCAAATCCTTAAGTCCATATTTAATTTAAGGTTTGGCACTACTTAGAAACAAGCAAGGATTCTGAATTTCTGTAGTGAAAAACCTGTTTGCTCCAGTCTCCATGTGTGAGCCAAAATATTTGCAGAATGCTTTAAAGCTTTTCTCTGCTGCAGAATTGCATGTAAGACAGAAGTTGACATTGTCAGAAGTTGCTGAGTACTAGAGAGATATATCTGCAGGCATCATGGTTTTGGGTTTTTTTTTCCAAAGTCATCGTGAAAGACAGTATTTAATGGAAAAAATATGAACTGAATCTTAGTTGATTCTTTTCTAAAATAGCATTTCTCCATTTAAAACATTTAAAGCTTACATTTAAAATTATGAAAGGATTTTTTGAGCCTCATGTTCTGAAAGTTTTGTTGTGAAGTGAGCACGTATGTGCCAAACCTTAGTCTGCAAGTATCTGGCACATGTATATTTATATGTTAATAAGATGCCTCCAAGCATGTTTACATTCATGGTCTTTTTTGAAGCTACTGAAGTGCACCAATATGGTGAGCATTAATATATTGGAATTCTAAAAATTCTGTCTGTTTTCTGTGTATGGCATGCTTTGCAATTAAAAGGACTATTTTATTTGTATCTTCACCTGCACTTATATATTATGACCAGTTGATTGGTGTGGTTTTTCCTGCTGTCGTCACACTTACCTAAACAGTTGTCTCTGGACTGTGACCAAAAGAGATTTTTCTTACCTGTTTATTTTTTAAGTAGAAATCAAATCAGTTGGCTTTTAAAGTATTAATTCCTATGGAGCATGGTGTAACACTGCTAATTGCTCTTTTCCTTTTTGCAGTACTGATGTACAGAGAATCATTTAGCTTGACCATGAGTTGTATCTGTTGAATGTAGTTGACTTCAAATGTCTGAATTTTAAGCATTTTTTAAAAGTTGAAAATGCTCCTGATGAGGACTTTGAAAAGAAAAAGGGTTGATGTTTTTATGTCAAAATACCTAAAGTGAATGTTTTGCATTGAGATAAGGATCTTTTGAAGATGCTTTTTAGAAGTTTTCTCTGTCACTGTCTTAAATCAAAACTCTTTTAAAAAGAAAAATCAAAACCCAAACAATCTCTTGATGACTTAAACTGTACAATCTTTTGAAAACTGAAAAGAAATCTGGTGCTCTTACTTAATTTGCTTGCATATTGCCAGACTGATTTAAGAATAGTTGTTTCAAGAAGCAAATGAAATCTGTTATTTCAATGAAGCATTGCCATTTATGATTTTAAAAAATAATTCCATTTACCAAAGTTGTCTATCAACAGGATGTTAACCTGATACTGTATTTGTTGTTATCAGGGTAACTATTGTGTGTATGCTTTTCGAGCTGAGTAAGTGTTCACTTTGTAAATTTGCATTAAGGCTACAGCTGTTACCAGCGAGGTTCCCTAGGGCCAACACAATGAATTCATGAGCTGAAGCTCCTGGTGCTTGACCCTTTTCTGTCTTCAGTAGGAAAAAAAGTGTGTAACTCTGCGCAATACAGCTCACGTTACAAATTTCCATGTTAAGCACACAGCTATGCTGACAAGCAGGAACATATCTGAACTTGCTTGTCTGGAGTAAAGCAACCTCTCTGACTTCTCAGCAGGAGCTGTAACTTGGTGGCACGTTGGCAAAGAGGAAGCAGAAATAGGTTTTGCTCTTCCCTGAGCAGCTGTTAAACTGAACACGGGGTGTGCTTCCTGTGTGATAGGGTATCTGAACTCCTTAGAGCCCTGAGAATTTTAATAGCGTTCAGAAGATACAGAAGCACTTGGCTGCTTTGTCACTTCTTGCTTTCGTACTTGTGGTTTTGCAAAAGCTTGAAGAGATATATTTATTAAAATTGAATCTATGTAGTCACCGACTGTATAAGCACTGCTTTGTAATATCTTTACAGAGACATCAAATTCCTACACAATTATATTTAAACTGTTTTGGGAAAATGAATAATGACACTGTGGGCACAAATTAATTCAGATTGCACTATAAACTTTCTTACCAGAAGCCTTCATTCTTACAAAGAACTATGCGATCCCTACACAGAAACTGTAGCTTTGGTGGTGGGCTCTTTGGAAGATGTCCAAAAAAGCAGCATCCAGACGGTCCCTGGACCTTTTCTGACATTCCAGTTGAAGGGGCCTGGCAGGCCCGCTGGGCACTCGAGGAGTTGGCTGGCAAGCACGCCGTGCCGAGCGTCACCCGATGCCAGCACCTTGTATAACTGTGCTGGTTTAGGTCTCCCCAGCTTAGATGTTTTTTAACTCAATGCAGCTTAAATGTTTCTCCACCCTGCCTAATTTGTCTTTGTTATTTGGTTGCCAAACTGTCTTGCATCTTAATAGAGTAAGAAAATAATGTGATTTATGGCTACCCAACCAGTGTATTAAGTAATAGATGGCTCTGTCTTAATAAACGGGGTATAAACTGCCATATTGTTTTCTTTTTATATTTGTTTGGGAGCAAAAAGTTGTGGGTTTAATGAGTTTATTTTAAGTCCATGCTGTAAATGCATAGTTTTACAAATATTTAGTTGCACATGTCAAGAACAATAAGTAATCAGTAACTCATGTTAGAGTCCTTTTCTCTTTCACCTAAAATACTTGAGTGAAGAGATCCAAAGACTGATAGTTGTTGTCTTCAGAAGTTTTATCACTTTCTGAAATTCATCAATTACTTTAGCGAGTTTTCACTTAAATCACTTAATGTGTTTGTCTCTCCAGCTGTGAGCGAAGGACATGTTTTTGTGACATAGACGTGTCTTCTAGAGCACAGCCCACATGAGCACAACCTCAGGAACAGATGTAGATGTCATCCTGTAAACTGAGAGCATTTCTCCTCTGTGCCTGATGGGAGCTGCTCCGAAAGCAAATTAGTGCAAACCCTATAGCTAATTATGAAAACTGAGCAAAGTGCTGCTGGTGAGCAGTTATAGCTGGGCACAGCAACAACCATGTGACAAGCTGAAGAAGTGTCGTGGGCTGCTCTGTGGAACTATTTTGGGCTTCTTAATTTGTTAATTATATATTTTCTAGACCAAGGCTCCTAAAAATACATTTAGTCTAGGCTTCATTGGAGTATTTATATCTCATCACTGGTGAACTAATAGAAAACTGAAACCCTGAAAACAAACCATGTGGTATTGGCTGTTATATAGAGATTGCCCTTGTAGTTTTAGCTTCATTGGTACATGGAGAAGCCTATGTGTCTTAAACTCACCTGAAATAAATCTGTAATTGACTAAGAAGTGAAAGTTATGGAAATAGTGATTCACCTTTTGTAGTGATGGGTTTGAAATACTAATCTCCAATTCTGTAAAACTTATGGCAGATATCCTAATATTATATTAAGTATTTTATGTATTTAGCTAAGGAAAATACAGGCACAGTAATACTTCAAAAGGTTTTCAAAACACTGGGTATTCTGAAGCTAAATTTCCTACAATCAGTTTCTTCTGCATCACTTTCCTAGAGAAGGGAATTTTAGGAGTCTCTTAGAAAGCTGTTGTGTTGTGCCTTGGCAGGTGTCTAGAAGAGAGCGTGTCAATATATAGAATAGATGTAGGAGAGGCCCTGTAAAGAACTTGTCTGTTACATTAGCACAAGTTGTGCAGGGCAGAATCCATTCCTATAGGGTTTTTCTTGGGCTTTGAAGTGTCCAGTAAGCACTTATTTGGTTACCTAGATTGAATGCAGGAGTTCTAAGCACAGTAGAGATTGCTGAAGTGACATTGCTGCTACTGAACACAGAGGACCTGGACAAAAGAATCCATTAAAAAGTGTTGTCACTTCACCTCCGAAGCAGGTGGTGGTGTGAGGAGCATTAGGGTGGTTTCACATTTGAGCTTCCCAACATGTGATAGCTTGGGTGTGGATGGAAATAATGTTGGCATGACCTATTTGGAAGACTGTTTTCACTTCACTCTCCCATCAGGTGTGGGGTATCTGGGAAGTCAAAGTTGTAAACCTTCAGTGGAGGTTTCACAGCTTCTCCTATAAAGTTACCAAATGAATAAAAATCACCATTTGCAGGGTTTCTGATCTTCAGATAGCATTAGTTGTAGCTCTCATATGTTACTTTAGCAGGAATAAGTAAATTGATCTTGATTTCAAGAGTGGGACAAAGACTTCACAAGACCACAAAGAACTGCTTGGAATCTGACTGGCTGGATGTGGGGCAAGTGGGACGTGATGCTGCTCAGGTTTTCCTTTCGTGGAAGAAGAACCATGGTACTTGATTCATCTGTGAAACAGTTTGTGCTCTAGTGAGGAGCATCACGTGTGTGACACTCTCCCTTCAGCGAGCAGTGGAGCTGAGGTAGGTGTGTGTATTTGTACTTCAGTGTTTTTGCTCAGGGATGGCTGACATGACGTACATGATACATAGGGATGCAGTGGTGTGGCACCGAGTGCCATACCCCCTTTATGAGCTAACCCAGACTTTTAAGCCATACTTTGGGCTTTCCCATATAAAGTGGTATTTGCTCTTTAGAAGCTCCATTGTGGAGACACTTGCTTTTGACTCCTTGCTTTTGTAATTGTATTTTTTGTGTCCAATCTGATAAGGCTGATAAACCTGCAAGCAGTGTGTGAGGAGAATTTCCTGGCATGAGCCAAGAATTGCTGAGATTGTTATCATTCTGTACTACAGAAGCGCCCTGTTTTATTTATACACTGTTTGTCTTCAGTTTCATTATATGCCAAGAGGAAAAAAGACAGACTTTCCCTTCAAGTGGTTGCTTGTATAACCATTCATACTACGGACGTGTGGACACCTTGATACTTCAGCTAAACACTTTTCTGCCCTAGCAGTCCTTGTGACAATGCTCTCCTCTCTACCCCCAGCCTGTCACACATTGTGTACTTATGGCTGGAGGATGCTTTCATCCTTGTTCTTCTAAATGTCCATTTGAGCCTGAGCTATCCAGCTTTTCTTTTAAACTGCAAGTTTGCATTCCTGACTTTGTGGGCATGGCTTTGCATGAAGGCTGTGGCTTAAACTATTCCAGATGTGGTGGAGTCAATGCTGACCATCAGATGAGTGCTGCCAGTGTTTATGCTGTTCAGGAAAAAGCCAGTAGGAAACATTCTGTGAGAAGGGCTTTAACTCAAGTGTTTGCATTAAACAGCAACAGCTTCAGCTTTTTTTTTTTTTTTTTTTTTTTAATGATGTTGGCTTCATCTTGATTCCATACTTCAAGAAGTCTTAATCTATATTCTGGGTCACCTCAGATTCTTGTATGCTTGTTTGTTTGTTTTGTTACATTGCGGGGTAAAGGGAAAGAAGGGGGAAAGTGCTTGTAAATAGTTCAGCACAAACTTCGAAAGAGCTATTTCCAAGACTGGTATCTGTGTCACTTTAAGACCTCCTTAAATTCTCAGGTGTCTGGTATCTCTGGCTGGAATTTAAGACTGGCACGGGCTCCACAGATACAGTTGCCCAGAGAGGTTGAGCACCGCCCTGAAGCACTACTTGGCTGCAGCCCTTGGTGGATGCCTTGGAAGTCACTTTCCAGCAGGTCATCACTTGCTGTATGCTCTATGTGCTTCACAGCACTGCTGCCCTCCAGAGCTTGCCCCGAGTCCTGCTTTCCAGCAGTTTTAACTTCTTCACAAAGATTCCATTTCTAATCCTTGTGCTCCTTCCCAGACCAGTGCCACTTCATGAAGCAGCCTAGGATGGTCTGGGGCTCTGAATGTGGCTCAAGCTTCCTTGGGGATACCTATTGTAGGTAGAAAGAGAGGGGGTTAGGCACAAGAGTTGATCCCCATTTCAGACCAGGCAGAGAATGGATCTAGTGGCCAGCCTTGCTTTCCATGCCCTGTGGTTAGAGACCTTTTACTACCATCCTTTAGCCAGAAGTCTTGGGGTAACAGGAGAGAATCTGACTTGGCTCCTGCCTGAGTAAGCCTACAGACCAAATCCCTCCATCCTAACAGAGCCAGTTCTGGCATCCCCTTTGTCATGTACAAGGTAGGAGATTGTGCCCATCTGCCTTGGTTAATGGAACAGGGCTCTCCTTGGGCTGCCTTCTCCTGGAGTACCCATAATATCTGTACCCATATCATGAGCAATTTGCACTCTGAGCAGTGAGTTGCCTTCAGTTTTGTTTAAGGAGAATTTCTGCAGTATAATTGCCCCCCTCAGGTTTTCTCAAAACACTGTCTAGTCTTACTATGTCCATTTTAACTTGACTCAGTAATAGCTTATAATTTGTTGTGGTACAGCAAGTTTTGCCAAAAATAACTAAGCAATTAACTAATCAGTAACAATCTAGTAGACACTGATCAACACTATGCTTCACAGTCTTTTAAATCAGCATCTCCACTCAAAGCTCTATTCATTGCCCTTAGTCATACGGTCCTCAGTGTTAAATCATGACTTGGCTTTTCTGTTGGGAGATACCCTAATTAACAGCAGCAATGAATGCTTAAGCCAAGTAATTAGATTCTCTCCTTTAAGTTTAGTCATCACTTCTCTGCAGGGACATGTTCTTCCCTTTCCTGCTGGCACACTGTTTGATGTCTGAGCTTCTTACTGAAAAGTTTGTTTGTGGCCCTTCTTGCTGCTCAAACACTGTTTTTCTCCTCCATCCTGCAATGGTTAGAAATCTTACGGATTTAGAAACATTTCCTTTCATTCCCTTTTAATTTTCATCTCTATATGTTATTTTAAAACCTCTTTCCTTAGCAAGTATTTTAATTGGATTAGACACCTATGAAGATCAGATGGCTGAGCCCATAGCAACCATTCTGCTGGCTGTCAAATTGATGACAAGGGTGAGCAATGCATGCCCTTCTAGCTGGCCCTCCCTGCACTGCCTCTCCCTTGACAAAACTGCCTTTTGCACTTGCTTTACTGCTTTATCTGAGTTTGTTTGGTGCTAATTACAGTTTTTCCCAAAACTGCAGATACATATACCTGAATCATCTCATTTTATCTTGGATATTGAGGAAACTTTTAGTTTTCTATTTGAACAGCATGAAATTTTTGGGACCACCTTCCACAATGCAAGTCCAGGTCTCAGCTCTTTTATCAAAAGGTTGTGGAACCAAAGAGCTGGTTGTGACACCACCTATAATGAAAGTGAGAAGATGAAAATATTAAATGTGGTTAAAATGGCACTCAGCAAAGCTTGTACTACTCTGGTGTACTGGGTAATGAAAGCAGCTACCTGGAAGTGTGGTTGCATCTTTGCCAAGGAGTGTGCTGATGTGAGGGCTTCCAGGAATGTGAGCTTTCAGCAGAACGGTGCCCTGCTTCCCTCTCTCCAAGGGACTGCAAAATACTGCACCTCATCATTTATTCAAATTCCAGGGATAGCAGGGTTGTCTACCAAGTGGAGAGTCTGTGGAAATGGATGTTTCATGGATGTTTCTCCTGTAAAAATGATGTTGTACTTTGGGGGGATGTTTCTCTGTGCCAAGCCAATCTATTTGCATGGATGAGGAAAAGACTGAAAGACCTTAGGCAAATGTCTTCATCATGCAAAAGAAGTTCAAAACTTTCTTACAATGTGTTTATGTATGAATGACCTTCCAAATTCTACAGCTTACTTGACTTGTGTGTATGTATCTCTGTTGTGTCCCCAGAACTTACTGTGCAGTTGTTGGTCAACATAGACATTAGGTGAAAGTTAGAAGATGTGCTTGGCATGTGTGTGATGGGTTATAGAATCATAGAATAGGATTGAGTTGGAAGTGAGCCATCGGGATCATTGCATCCCAGCTCCTGTTTAGGTCAACTGGTACTGGAACCCATGTTAAAAATGACACGGCTGGGATTCCTCTTGTATGAGATCCAGACTGGATCAGCATGTCACCTACGAATTTGTGTAGGTGAGCTTGTACATCTAGAAATACAGAATTTGAAGCTGCAGGTTTTAATCACTTATGTTTTCTCTTTATTTGATTGGTTTATTCTACAGTGATTAAATGCTGTTGTGTGAGATGAGGAATTAGTATGTGTTTACAATGGGGACGTAAGGGAAAGCTGTGAGGGGCTGTTTTGATTTATTGTGAGAACTTGGGTAGGTAGACTCAGAAACACTGGACTGGGTTAGGCAGCACTCCCTGTGGTGGGGGGCTGGGAAGCATTCATGGAATACCTTGTGGAATGCACCCCCAGCCCTCGCTCCCCACTCAGCCAGCCTGTCAAATTATTGCAGCTTTTGAGCTGTGCATTTGAATGTTGTTTGCATGGAAGCTGCAACATGGGGAAGGTGGCCATAGATAGTGCAGGCTCACCTCTTTCCTCAGAGTGTCCCACAGCATGGCCGTGAGGCCACAGCTGCTCCACTGGACTCTGTCTGTAAGGCCACGGTCTTCCAGGAACACAGCTGTGCTTTGTTCAGTGTTGGCATTAGGTCACTGCTCCAAATAAGAGATTTCTTGTTGTGTATTTGTGGAAAGAAAGTTTGAGTCTCCTTTATTCCTTGCTTACCACGTCTGGCTGGGGATCCAGTGCTGTTTGGTGGCCTGTTACGCTGCCTGTGTGCTCACCCTCTGTCACATTATCACGTCGTGTGTGGGCTGAGTCAGCTCGCTCTTTGTCCTCAGCCACCAGCCTGGGAGAGAGTGCCAGTGCTCCCTGTTACTCCCAGGTCTTCCCTGCGTATTTATGGTCAGACTTTTTTAGGATGAGACCTGTGCTCATCCTGGAGCATGTTTGCCAAAAGCAGTCCTACACGGCCGTGGCAAAGGCCTCACGCACAACTCGTGCTGTGGCAATGCTGAGATGGCCATAGGCTCGGCCTGATGGCTTCCAGTGAGGGAAAAGAGCTGCAGGGACGTCACAGGTAACTGTCCATTGTACAAACATCCCAATATTTGGTGTTTCAGGGCACACCCCAAAGAGTTTTGATCACAATCCCAGCTTGTGCGAGAGAAAGGCTGTTCAGCTTCTCAGAGATGATTAAGGTGGGCTGTGTGAACACGGGGTGTGGTAATTCACTTACACACATTGTCACTTGAACAAGGTCCTGTGTGTCTCTGTGCCTCTTGTGTATAGTTGTGACTAAAAAAAGGCAGACATATTTAAAAACTAACTTGAATTTTTTTGTTTGTTTGAAGCTGGCAGAGAGGCAACCTGTAAGTAATTCACTGCCTTTTCTTTACTATTGCAGTTGTTGAAATTTAAATAGACTAGACCGTCTGTTCTGATGCTGATGCTTGGTCATTGGGATTTTTGTGTGTTTTTGGGTTTGTTTTGATTTTTAGGGTTGTTTTAGATTTGTTTTTAAATCTATTTAGTTAACATTTATGTAGCATTTACTTTGCCTGAAAATATTAAATGGATATATAGCAGAAAGCCTGTGG